CATAATAATATGAAACATATATTACTAAAAGGTTTTATAATATCCATTTAATATCTTCGGTATATTGTTTCCATATTTAAAATTATATATAAATTATAAGAGGTTTTGACTCTGTCTTCCAAACTTATTGCAAGGTGCTCAAAATGTACAGATTGTGCAAACTTGCAACTGGACAATATTAAAATATACGCACAATGGTTTCTTGCAACTGCTTGCAATTTTGAGATACCTCTAATCCCATACTTATAACGAAAAAAGAAAGGAAAAAACAGCTGTTCTGACATATAATGCTTCTCATGTGAATGGGGTATGCTGCAAAAACAGCTGCTTTATTTTGATGGTGCAATTCTACAACAATTTTAATATAACATTCTGGCGTTTCGTGCACTTAGGAATGACTTTAAAAGACAGAGTGAATACTCTTATACAAGACACCGAACCGGAATTTTCTCCATTCCGGTTTTCGTTCCGGTTCAAGGCAAAAAAGATTTATAGGTTCGATTCCTGTTTTCGTTCCGACAAAAATATCGGTTTTTTTCGGTTCGGTTCCGGTTCAATGTCCTGCCGTTGTAGAGCATTTGCGATTTGAGAGTGTAACCATGTTAACCATCCTAAAAGGTGGCAACAAAAAACTTTAGAAATGTATATGTTGAAGTCCTGACCGAAATAAAATATCTGCTTTAGTCGTTCAGAATATTTATATTTAATGAGTATTTATTAACATTATATTTTTTGTACATTTTTTACAAGACTGTGTTAAAATATCTCTAATATTTATGTATAAAAATAAGCGTTAAGTTTCCTAAACCTTTTCCTACTCTTTACTTTTATATCACAAACGATTTATTTTTTATTTTTAATCTTAGCTTAGTTTCAAAGGGATATATTCCATCTCATATATGCATGCAGTAAATAATATGATATTAAATGCAACTGCCAAAATATGAGTAATTCATTTGTAACTTAACTGTTGGCATATTTAATAATTTTCAATATAAATGCGAAACTATGCAGCGCTCTCTCAAAGGAATATTAAATTTCGGTTCTTGGTTTTATTATGAGTCCGGACACTAATTATATTTTTAATAAACTTTATGTGCAATGGCGACTTAATGAAAATGTTTCCTTTGCCACATACTGTGCTAAAGGATAGCATAAAGAAATAGCAACTAATGTCCGTCAGTTAAATTTTAATGAATCTCGTATTACTAACGCTCTACTTCATTACTTAACTCAGCTCAGCTATAACTAAAAATCTTTTTAAGTCCATCAAAAGCGGAGCGTTTCTGTAATTCAAACTTTTACATTGCATTCACTTTCCAACGGCATACAGTCTTCGCGATGAAGAAAAATAATGACGGGAGTTCTTAGTAGAGGAAAGGATTTTGTTCTGAGTAATTAAATTAAAATCTCATCTCCACTTTAAAGAGTTTCACAAATTTAAATTTTTAAATTAAATTCACTTTGGCGCTTTAAAAAAAATTTAAAAATTCAAGCAAATATCAGGACTTGAAGTCCTTAGAGGTCCATGTTCTCGTTTCAACATGTGTCAGTGCAGAAATACAAATCATTTTGTGTTTTAATTCCTGCAACTTTGTTATAAATGTTCGGCTGTCAAAAACATTCACCAATAGATGATTTACTGCTCCAATTCCGTTTATTTTTTACGCTCCTCGCAGGAAGACTGATTTATGGCTTCAAATATTGTGAACATGCAATCAAGTAGCATGTTGTACAAATTATTGACTTTAAATATCATTTTGTCACTAAGTCAGGGTTACCGTGGAGTGAAAAGCGTGTAAGGAGCACAAAGGATAAAGCCTTAATTTATTGGTTATATAAAAACATGTGAAAGATGAAGCACACACAAAAAATTTCGCTTGTTAAATGTTTTACGAGGAAATTTCCTCCAAAATTGAGATATGGCAAAATATTATTACCATTCCCTTATTTGGCCAAAATTTGGTTCATAAATAAATAATGAATTAAAATATTCATAGTTTAAGACTTCTCTGACTAGTTGTGTCTATATTATGTGGTCCTGCAGGACAGTATATTTCGGCAGCATCGTTTTGGTGCGATGTACCTAGTCATATTATGTTTAGTACTAGATATGTCATTTTATAACATAACTTGCTTAACAACCGCTGAACCGTTTTGATTTTTTTTTATTCCAAATATCAATAGGATCAACTATGTCTGACAATACTATAACTATTTTATAAATTAAAGAGCAGTTTTCTTCGATTTTTCATTAGGTGAACAAAAAGCTATAATAGTCAAGCTATTGTCTTTAAAGTGACAACAAATTATTGAAAATGATCTCAAAGGATGCAGTGGTGTAAGATGTCTAATGGGCGGCATGCGTTATATATGGTATTATTTTAATTTGTTTGAAATCTTGATCACAAGTACATTTGTTTTTAGAACTACAAAATTAATAATCCTGCAGTTGCATCACAGTAACAAGTAATACAGAATGTATCTAAAAAATTTATTCTCATAGGCATTTATTGTATCATATAAAATTCAACATATTAAATAAAAATATGATTCGGAAAGTAATACTGGCACATTTAGACCCCTGTATTTCTCTTTATTCCCCTCTGGTCTTGTCACAGTCATGACTTGTTCTTGTCTCTCTCTTTTGTCACTTCCTTGCTTAATCTTTGTCTTACTACTGTCTTATTCTGGTTCCTCTCTTGTCTCAATATTGTATCTTTCTTGTGTTTCTTTTGTGTCTCTTTTATCTCTGTCTTGTCTCTGTTTTATCTTTCTTTTCTCTGCCTATTTTGCCACTCTTGTCGCTCTTATCTCACTATTGACTATGTCAAGATTCTGCATAAATCTTGCCTTACTCATATGTCTTTTTTGTCGCTATTTTATTTCTTTTTTATACGATCTTATCTCTCTCATTTCTCCATCTTGTTTGCAATCTGCTCTATGATATCATATAGTCATCGTTGACCATAAGATTTCCTTAAAAAAATTGAACCAATACGATTGAGTAATACTAGATTCACAAAAGAGTTTCGTTTGTAATTTTAGCTGTCATTTCGAATTATTCTTCATTTCGGCATCAAGATTTTTGTATGGGAAATCATCCTCATTAGTGGCTATAATGAGCAAAACCGCCTTAATGAGACAGTGTCAATATGGTATAACTCTGAATTAATATTCCTAGCTATGTTTTGTATGAAGAAGAACATTTTCAAAAAATTAATAAAATCATTTTAAAAGTTTAATAAAATAAGCTTATTGTCTTACTATGCAAAAACTAATACAAAATCAATTAAAAATACTGTATCAAATTTATCTTGTATCTTTTATAAATTTCAATTGATTATATATGTTGATTACTATGTAAGATTTCATAACTTAAAGTTAAGGTCTTTCATAGAGCAGCATTTCCATTTTTAAAAACTTTATGTAATTTTGTTAAAAATTGCGGAGCTTCTATATACGAAATAAAAGCTGAAATAAAAAAAGCAACTTTTATACTTAACAGTTTCAGATAAAGTTTAATAACTTTTATTGCCACATCGTTCGAAATAATCACCTCAAAAATGGTGCAGAAAATTGTTCTACTGGCACTTCCAGCAATGCGTCAACAATTTAAAAATAAAACTTTTCAGAGTTTCAGAGGAAGTTTTGATTTCAATTGCCAAAATATGCAAATTTCAAAAATATATTCGAGTAATTTCTGTATTCATACGTATTACTATTACTATATTAAAAAAATTTTGATTTAAATAAAATATCTTAATGTTTCCATGCCATAAGAGTCTCAAACTTTAACTCCGATTTATTTTTTTATATGCAGTGTATGAATGTGGGTCGATGCAATATATTTAAAATAATACTATTTTGACAAAAAAAATTATTTAATTATACTATTTCATTGTAATTATTCTAATTTTATTATTAATAAAATCATTTATACATATCATAAGAGTTTCCCATTTCATTGAACTAGAATACTTAACTTTTATTATGTCGCAGGCTTACTATCGCTCACTAAATTTGAAGACTTCCGATATAGCTTACCAATATTCATTTGATCATCTGGGTTTTTAAAAAGTTAGGAAGAGTTTTTAGCAAAATCCTGGAGATATATTACTAAAAGCGACATGCCAGTTAGTTGCGTTAGCTTAGAGATAACTCTAGTCCATGCGACCTATAAATATCGGACGAAAAAATCCTATAGATACTACTCAAAAAAAGTGAAGGCAATTAAAAAAAAACTCTGACTACGTTTAATCTCATAGATGTTATTTAGTTGACTAATTAAAATATTCCTACCTAAATGTAAATGTAACTTTTACCTTAAACTTACTATATTCCATATATACACAGTCATTTATTTTGGTTTGTGGTATGAAATTAAAAGAATTAGTAAAAAAAACTTCAATCAGTTGCTAATAATTGACCATTACATCAACCTAACACAAATCCTTGAATGACTCCTCATGCTCCTTAATTTTCACAAATTTAAAAGTTCCGCTTCGATACAAATTTGGAAAACATATCATGGACATTCCCTGAGTGTTTACAGTATTTATGAACAAACTTTCGTGTGGCTATTGTGTTTACATTGCCGTGTGGACCAAAAGGTGTAGTTGCAGCATCATATGCAGCCAATTTGTAATCCGACTATATGCAAATTTATTTTTGCTCTAGAAAACCACAATAAAAACGTTTACGTTAGCATTAAAGTGCTGTGCAGGAGTGAAGGACATTTCTATTTCTGTTTTTCAATGTGCACATCATGTAAACGAATTTGTTTGCAGTAACTTTTGCATATTTTCCACCATTTTTCTGCAAATGCACTACACATCTACATATAGGTTTATAGAAATGTTTATTGCAGCAATTTCAGAGTAAGCAATTGCTCCAGGGCATTCGTTGTGGATGCACCTTTGCGGAAATTACAAATTATAATTTTTGATGCTGGGATTTTAATTATTGTTTTGATATAATTTGTTTATTACTTCATTTATTTTAATATTTCTATTTATATTTTACTTTCTACAATCACATTTCTAATAGGAAGGAATTATTGTAAAACCTTACTTTTCGAAGTCATTTCCTTTATCTTCAATGATCAGTAAAATATTTTCATAGTATTCTTCTTAAAAATATTATTAAGGATCTTTTTATTTCAAGAGCTTTAGTTATATGAGTGAAGCAACTCAAATAATAATTTATCATCAAAGATATTTTCTACTATCTATGAAGACTTTCCAATTAATCACTTACGGTGCCGATATTCATGATGTTCCCTGTGATCACGTACGTTCTTCTGCATCTTAGCCCTTCAAAATATAAAATCAGGTATCATAAATTTTACATAAATGCATGGAAACTATGTTTAATACATACATGAGTCGATACACTGCAGGGAAAGGCTTATGTGGTCTATCTGATATCGAAAAGTCCACGCGGATATTCCTTCCGTGAATACATAGATATTTGCAACGTGCCACTGCATACTTAGCGTCACTTAAATGTTTGTAGTGAATGAACCCAAAGCCTCTTGACAGTTGGGTCTATAAATAATGATTAATTAAGTCTATCCACCATTTACATTTACACATTATAAATTAGATAACATATGTTCATACCTTTTTATCTCGGATTAGTATAACTTTTTTGACTTTACCAAATCCTTCAAAAATCATGTTTACTATTTCTGGGGTAGTACGTTGGCTTAAACCAAAAACTCCAACTACCTTGTTTGGTTTCGGGTTGAACTTAAAACGTTATAAATTGAAATTTACTTAAATTTAAGGTTAAACATATACACAATAAATCACAAATATAAATTTGAGGGCAAAATATAGTTTAAGATATTGACATATGTATTATAAATGTTTAGTATTGCCAATATATTTAATTTTTAAGTAGAATGGGGTAAATTTCGACTTACTCTGTTACCATAGCGTCCTTTTTGATATAAGTGATCCTTATATTTTTGCAAGCTCTCTGTGTTTGGACTATATGACTTGGATGCCGAGTTCTTGGTTCTATATTCAGATAATGAAGTAGAACTGCAAATGAGATAAACATTAGATGTATAAAATTGTATTTAGTACCAAAATTTTATATACATATTCGATATTAATTAAAAAGTTATTATAGCAAATTAATATTTATATACGTATTTTAATGAATGTTTTTAATAACCGTTTCTTCAGATCAACTGTACTTCTTCCAGCGGAAGTCCCATGAGAATCACGTCGTGATTTGGATTTGCGTGATTCTGCTTGCTTGCTCATGCTATAAAAATATGTAAAAGTTATATATATGAAACATGTTTTAATTAACATATTATACGTAAAATATATATATTTCTTTATAACATATGAGCTTTTATATATCTTTTATTCTATTCGATGTATCCCCCAAACTAAAATTAATTTGAGAAGTAAACTTTTGAGAAAAGACATTTGAAAATCATATCTCCTCTATATGACTACTTTGCATATTAACTTAAATAGTGTGAATCAGAGAAAAGCTGAATCTGCTTTATAGATCTATTGTAATAAAATCTTACATACAAATTAAAAATGTCTTAACAAAATATGTTCCCAAGATAATAAAACATTAAAATAATACGCAAACTTAACTAATAAGTTCGTAGTCAAACTTCAGGTATATATTATAGATTATACAGATATTTTTAGAATAAATTTCAGACTGCGACATACTTTTAACTTTATTATGGACGGAATTATGGAAGAGGAATTATCTCTCTCATTATAGTGACTCTTCATATTTGTATATACATATATTTACTCACCTGATAAATATGAATTAACTGACATTCAATTTAAGCTGACTAAAAACTGTTACAATCGCAGATTTTCTTTTGACAAGAAATTTTAAAAAACTTAAATATAAAAAAGATATTTTTGTTATTAAATGTTGTTGTCATTCAAATTGACAATAAATGGAATGTTTACTTGATTAGATTTATTATTCCTAACAAGAGTTGAAATAAAATCCATATCTTTCCAAATTTTAAATAAAATTATTAAATAGCATGAATATAAGTAGAGAATGGGTTAAGAAGAGAGTCACAAGGAAATATTTCATAAAGCATTTAAACAATGTATTATAATAGCTATTCAAGAATTGTATATGTAAGACAAGAAATTAATTTCGAATAGTGAAAGGGGTAATAGTAGGGAAATTTAGTAAGTTCCCAAAGCTGACTTAGTCATATAAAAATAGTCATAACAAAGTTCGAACTTTTACTAAAAGTTGGTTTAAGTTGGTTAATGCGTTATCGATAGGTTTTCGGTATAAAAACGCAAAATAACAGATTTTTAAAATAATATAAATAATATATGTAATAATATATATAAGTTGTAGTATATTTTTTGTTTTCTTGGTTGAGCGTGTTTAAAATAATTTAGACTGTATCGATTGAGTAATAGCAACCGAAATCACACAAGTTGTACAACCAAGTCTTATGTGTAATACCCGCTTAATTCAACCAATAACTAAAACACAGCACTGAGAAAAAATGCAACATTGCAGAAAAAACTCAAGCTACAAAAATGTCAAATAGACATCAATTCTTTTCATTGGCTTCTCATAAGTGCACGCAACGTTTTTAAAATCTCGTATATTAAAAATTTAAAAAAGTTAAAATATGGAAAATATTTTGTCTTCAAGTACAATGGAGCGTGCGGAAAACGTGAAACAAGTGGAAATGGTGGTAAGTCCTGACTTAGATGTACCGATTCCACCGATAGCTACTATTGAGGAGAATCCAACGTCTGTGGAAAATATGGTGCACGTTTCAGAGGCGGGAACCTCGGGTAAGCTATAACTTACTTTCATTTTTCTAGTTTTAATATTTAATAGAATATTTTTTATTGTTTGCAAAAGCTGTTACAAAACAAATACACAAACCCCTAAGCCATCTTTGTCCTGAGCGTTATCGGAATGTAGATATTAAAACAGTTTTTCCAGATTTTGAAGAAGGAGAACCTTTAAACTTTTTTCGACTCTTACCACCACCATATGTATTAAATCCAATAAGTGTGGTAAGAAATAAAAGAATGAAGATTGAGGTTAAAAAAAGTCTAATTACACATCAAAAAATTTTACAGCTTAAACGCCAACGTGGCATGTCTGAAGAAGATGGTGTAGCTGCAAACATGTGTCATGAGAGTACAAGTAGCAGCAATGGCAACTCTAAAGGTAATGGTAAACAAACAAACAAACCCAAGAAGCGTCAAAAGCGCATTGGTAGCGCCCCCAAAGATAATGGTTTACCTCCATTAGGTGTACGTCTTAGGAGCGCCAGCGGCAGCTCCGGAAAAACTGGTGTATCACAGAAAGAGCGTCGTGAGCGGTCTAGTACTTAAAATTATCAGGACTTCGAATAGTACTACTATTAAGAAGAGTTTGATGTACGTGCAAATGTGAAATTTTGGATTCTTGTTTCAAATACGTCTACAATATATATAGAAAATATTTTTTTAATTCTTAGTAACATATTCAATTTAAATTTTGTTAATGAAAGCATAACTAGAGTAACTACAGTAAATACTATGTGGAATATTTTTTACAGCAAAATTTCTAATCACTTTAATTTCAAAAATTTTTCCATTGTCTTAACCTAAAAAAAATATACCAATAAAATAATCATACAATATAGAGACCAGTATATACACTCTATTTAATTAAGTCCTGGAATTAAATACTGTGAGGGAGCATTGAATCATATATTATAGATGTCCAAAGTTAACATACAAATTGTTTACAATTTTTGAAAAGTTTTTTTCTTTCCGATACATGTGACGACACAGAATGTTCCTCGCTATGTGGTGGGGTATAATCAATGGCTGGTCCTGGGTCGTTGTAATAAATTTTTGAAAATGAAGACAGTGTTTTATGAGTTATTATGTATTTATTTATTAATATAAGATTCTTACTTCTAACAATGTATGTCAATGTCACTACAACATCTATACACAGTGACAAACATATTTATTGACACAGTGAGTATATTAAACTTTAACTGTTTTTAACCCGTTATTGCAGCGATTTTTATTTAACAAAATTTTTAGATAAAATTCTTAATTTTCAATTACATTCATTTTATTTTATTGTATTATATTTTATATTTAATTTATTAAAATTAGAAAACCAAAAAAAGTACTAAATTAGTGCATACTAATTATTTAATCATTTCACTAAGAATGAATTACCTGGAATATAGTTTTTGAGCGAGCACTGCCTCAATGACCTAATGCTTAATGGGTACTAATTACATTTAAAATAAAATGTTTTTTAATATATCGTATATGGCATATAGCAAATGTTCATCCAATTTATTTATTATTAAAATATGAAATTATTTATTTAAACTAAATTATACCATTCCATTTGCAGATATGTGTAGTATTTGTGCAGAGAAATATTCGAAAATATTTTTCATTAAAATTTTCTCCTTATTTCATTCATAAAGAATAATTTTCTCATTTGAAATCGAAATCCTTTGTGAACAAATATCATATAAACAGCAGGATGTGCACAATATTTTTATTGTTACCAGAAAATAAAAATTACTTTTCCACATGAGGGAACACGATTTTTTATAAGGAATTCAATGCAATTTACAAAGGAAATGGAAAGGAGTGACAAAAGGAGAAAGAAACGTTATATGTATCGGAAGATGCAATAAGATTACAAAGAAGCAATATTTTGCTAAATTTATTGAAAATACTTATTCAGATCACTAATTTTAATATATGTGTGAATGCCATTATTTTGCAAAATATATTTTAATGTAAAATTAAAATAAAAAAAAATAAATTGCATTGCATACTGAACATATTTTGGAACATCATTTTATACATTATTTTGTTAATTATACATTATTTTGAGATAAAAAACTGAGAATGCATTAAATAGTCAAGGCTTTATGTTCCATTGGACGACAAGGATTACAGTCAGTGAGTAATAATTGTAATAAATAAGTATAATAGTAGTATAGAAGACTGTACTAGACTGTAAGGACTTTGAAATTTAAATTAAATTTTATCTACCCTTTCAGGGCATATAAAACATGAGATTCAAAGCTTAAGTAAGGGGAAGCACATTTGGCAACTTGCCTTGTAGTAAAGACAGTTGCGCTTAGGTCTGAGAATTGGGCCCATTGTGATATCATGGTTTATATATACACATGCATACATACATACATACGCTAGCTCTTTAAGAAGAATCATGTTCTAGCCCAAGAAACCACTTTGTCACTTTACCGAAGCAGGCAATATCTTTAATATACCTTATAGTTATATGGAGTAGATATTTCTATTTTTCTTTTTCACCTCCGACCCATTGCTACGATAATAGGATCCCCAATTGATTGATGTTCCTTCAAGTTCCTCTAGCAATAAGACATGGAGTCCCGTCAATGCAGCGATTGTGTCGTACAAACTGTGCGAGCAAGTCCTAATAGTAAGGCAATTATTTCGGGTCATAGACAGACTATGCTATGGTCTGTCATAGGATTGCTTGTTCAAAATGTTCGAATGTTTAGTACCAAAATCTATATCAAATTATATAGCGCATAGCTGAAAATATTATTTAAGTATTTAAAAGCCAAGTGACTTTTCTAAAACTCAAACAAATTATTACAAATTATATTCAAAATAAAAATTTCTGTAAATACCTTTAATTCAAGAAACGCTTTTTTAATTATTTAATGCTTGAAAATAATATATGGAGAATCATTATACTTCAGTAAAATATACAAATTCAATTAAGACATATATTTCAAAGCTTTAAATATTAAAGAAATCAATATCTTTATGAAATTTTGCAGAATATTTTTTGTTAAAATCCTTTGTTAAATTGAAACTAAATAAAAATCGAATAACAATCGCCCCAAATAATACATTAAGACCGAAAAGTTTTCGGAAATTCTCATTTAAAATTCGCGCGCTGTATATTTTTCGATATTTTA